TAATACACATACATTTGCCATTTAACGTTAAAGTATCTTGCGGGGTAAGTTTGAAAAAGCAGATAAAGCTTTGGTGACTGCGCTACTATTAACTTTAGGTTTGCATACTCAAATTTTGAAATATCAAAAATAAGTATTTTTGTCAGTATGCTTTATGTATTTTAGTTAAATTTTGTCTTTTAATTATACTTCACAGCTTTACTAAAATACATAGGTCAGCAAGTCGTTATAATAACAAAAACGAGGCATGTGTATCTTAGAATGCTTAAATCCACTTTCTTCCAGCTCAGCCTTCACAAAAAAAGTTCTTGTCGTTAAGTTAGCTGCCAGACGAATTTTTCCTATGAAAAATGGGGGATAGGCGTATGACTTAAATGAAGTAGAGCTACCAACAGCGTGATACCGACCACAGATATTTTCTAATTTCACAGTAGATAACATGCAGCGTTAGAAGTTCTCAGTTGCTACGATGGTAGGGCGCTTGCTTTCTTTCTGGAGGGCTTGGGTTCAAGACTTCATTTTGTGAAAGGGCGTTTAAATAGAGTTTAGGAGCCTACCATACTAGCATTAAAGTGTAAGAGAGCTGGAATGTAGTCAAGTGATAAGCCTCTCTTTCTTACTTTTATGAGCATAAATGCTTGTCTGGCAGACTCCCAAACTTCATCCAAGCACATCCTACTATCCTCCCTGGTAACTCTGTAGTGTATTTATATGACCTTGACACTAGAATGTCATATAAATAGGGTACGAAGCATTTTTACTGTGGCATACAGAACCTGCAAATCATAAGAAAAAACAACAAGGGCCTTAGAAGAAGAGAGCAGTTATATGGTTTTCTTATCATAAAATTCAAAATCGTCCCATAAATAATAAAAAAATCATCAAATACATGTGGCACATTAAGGTCATGTATATATGTGTGTATTAAAAAAGGGGAGAAAGATTCTCTTAAAGTAAGGTCTGAAATTGACCAAAAAATACTGAATAATATAAACAACAAAATAAATTTGGTATATCGAAGTAATAGATATCTATGCGTTGACCCATAACCATTAAACAAAGACAGATAAGATGTGGCATTGCTACTGTAGAATAGCTACTGTGGCGGCTAATTCTAAATGATGCTTGAAAAGTTTAATATCTCAATGTCGTGAGAGAACGGTTCTTTATTTACGATCACTTTTACCGTATCGAGTGATGCGCTCAAAACCTTGCAAAATGGTCGCCATTCCACTGAATACGTTGACACATATGGGTATTGGTTTGAGAAAAGGAGATCCTCTTCTAGGGTTTTTCAACTATTAGTAAGTATCTTGAAATGAAAATAAATAGTGAAGAATAATAATCACTATAAAATATTTTTTAGTGTGCAAAAATTTAAGGAAGCTGGAATACTCGCTCTTTTAAAATATCGTGAGAAAGAAATAAGTGATAGCGAATTCAAAGAAGAAGAAAATCCAGTTTATGCATTCAGTATGCAGAATGTCTTTGTTGTTTTCAACATTTTCATGATTGGACTTGGCATAAGTTTGGGAATTTTGATCATAGAGTGTTTATACAATAAATTTAAACCGATAAAAATAAAGGAAGCCAAATCCAACAGAAAAAGAAAAATGTCACCCCTCCACGAAAATCGGAGGGACCCATCTCCGCCACCTTTTCCTTTTATTCTTTAAAAAGTTTACAAAACATATGCCTACAAACTTCAAATTTGAATGAAGTACCTGTAATTTTATTCTTTTACTATGTTCAATTAGGATACGACGTCATTGATGATACATCAGTGCATATTAACAGCCTGAGCGCTATATATTTGTACTGGGCACCATAACCATCGGAGCGCATATCATNAACGCTTTTCCAGCTATTTTACAACGTGTTTCGATGATAAGTGTATTATAACAAAACTACAGATGAAACTTGTCAATACAAAAAAGTGTCTGATTTCAGTAGATTCGTAAACAAAAATTTGATATGATGAACTAAAATTGAGATGTACAAAAATTAGATAGTGTAAAACGATTTTTTGGCAATTTTGAAACGATTTTTCTGGATAGAATCGTTAAGGAGTTTTAGAGAAAAACTTATTTCACAGACAAGCTTCATTTCATCAAACTTTTCAACTTTTGTATTCAATACTTTGTTATAGAATTTGAATTAATTTTTTTAACGAGCAAAAAACGTTTTTTTCACTATTTTTGTATGTATTTTGCTCTACAGAGCGACTGCAATGCAATTTTGAGCAAAGTGCATGATACAAAAAAGTTGTATTTTAACGAGATCTAAAATTTTGTCTCTGAACGCAAACGTGTTAAATGGATGTAAAAAACGTTATCTCTGTATAACTGATTTTTTCGTCTCAGAGTGCTGAACTCAAAATGCTGACAACATATTTCTTTTTAATGAAACTTGTCTAAAAGCAAACGATAATTTAGTCATATTAGACATTCAACTTGAAACTACTAACCAAATTTCAACTTATTTAGACCATAATTACTTGAGTGAGTCGGAAAATTTGATAAAGTACATACAAACTTATACACACACACACACACACACGCACCATGTGACTAATTTAGATCACCCTCAGACTAAGTTCTAAATTTGTTTTGTATTAAAAATAGACGGTTTAAAAGTGGTTACACGTTTTTCTCTGACAAAATTATAAGACACTTTTATGTGTTAATCGTGTTTAGAAATAAAACAGAGAACCAAAATAATCAAAGAAATTATAGAAAAAAAATTGAATGTTTTCAAAATGTACCATTCTCTAGAATATGCATTAACAAAAGTTTTTTTTCAATTCAGGTATGTAGTGAGAGAACGGTTCTTTATTTAGCATCATTTTTACCGTATCGAGTGATGCGCTCAAAACCTTGCAAAATGGTCGCCATTCCACTGAATACGTTGACACATATGGGTATTGGTTTGAGAAGAGGAGATCCTCTTCTAGGGTTTTTCAACTATTAGTAAGTATCTTTAAATGAAAATAAATAGTGAAGAATAATAATTACTATAAAATATTTTTTAGTGTGCAAAAATTTAAGGAAGCTGGAATACTCGCTCTTTTTAAATATCGTGAGAAAAAAATAAGTGATAGCGAATTCAAAGAACAAGAAAATCCAGTTTATGCATTCAGTATGCAGAATGTCTTGGTTGTTTTCAACATTTTTATGATTGGACTTGGCATAAGTTTGGGAATTTTGTTCATAGAGTGTTTATACAATAAATTTAAACCGATAAAAATAAAGGAAGCCAAATCCAACAGAAAGAGAAAAATGTCACCCCTCCACGAAAATCGGAGGGACCCATCTCCGCCACCTTTTCCTTTTATTCTTTAAAAAGTTTACAAAACATTTGCCTACAAACTTCAAATTTGAATGAAGTACCTGTAATTTTATTCTTTTACTATGTTCCATTAGGATACGACGTCATTGATGATACATCAGTGCATATTAACAGCCTGAGCGATATATATTTGTACTGGGCACCATAACCATCGGAGCGCATATCATCCTTTGCGGAGACTAACTTGCAGTTTTTAGTGTGACACTTGTTGCGCACACTGACCTCTGGAACTTTTTGTTAGCAACTTACTCTCCATAGCTGAGCACGGACTCGATGGTTTTACGCTAGCACCTGACATTTAGATGTTCCAGTGTAGATTTTTCTTTAGCTTAAAAGCTAACAACTTTTCCAAGAGATTTTGCTTCACTACCATAAAGACTCTCAACAAAGTGAAGAAACAATAAAGAGGTTTATTCAACTTTTT